AAATTCAAGGCCAACCTGGGCAAACTTAGTAAGACTGTCTCTTAAAATTTAAAAAAAAAAAAATTATTTAAGGGCTGAGGATGTAGCTAAGTGGTAGAGCACACCTGGGTTCAATCCCAAGTACTAAGAAAAAAAAAGAGAGAGAGATGTATAATGCAAATATGTTGTTCACATGGTAACACTTGCTTTTCTATCTCTTCAGTCCAATTTCAGAAAAAAAGGTGTCTTAACATCTCATCAAATTGGCAGTTCCCAGGCTTTCATTCACACTTGGCACAGTGTTAGACTTGCTCTTAACAATTTGTACTGTCATACCTCATAGCTTAATTTAACATGATCCTCTGAAGTTATAACACAACCAGTTACCCCCAGAACAGCTCTCAGGTGGCCAATCTGTTCGGTCAATCCCCATCCCCAGAAAGGCATTCTTTGAAATCTATAAGGAAATATAAACAATTTGCTGAAGGAAAATATATTTACTGCTTACTTAATACAGTTTGCCTACTTCCAGAGTGTTTCTTTTATAGTCATCTCTCCTTTCTAACATTTAAATCCTGACATAAAAATAAAGCAGTCTGCCTAGCCCAGCCTAGTTCTTATGGTCCAAAGATATACATATGCCCTTTGATGCTCCAAAGAACCTGCCCTGCTGTATACCTGATAGGAAATGCTTACACGCAGAGCTCAGTCCAGTTTTACTGAAAACAGGAAACATTCCAGTTCTCCAGATTTCTCATGGTCACTGAAGAATGGTGGGGGCGTTCTTGTTTTTCACCTTTAAAGACTTTAATCTGGATACCACATGAGAGCAGCCTTTTCTAAATGAGGTATGACTGACCCACAGCATTAAACAGATATGGTAAAATACGGATGCACTTCATCCCATTCACTTTTCTTCGGCCTGATGGCAAGTAAGGGTGGAGCCTTCCCCTGCCTAACTCCAGAATCTGTCATGGAGTAGACACGCCACATTTATGGGATAAATGAACATGGCTTTATAACCTACACAGATAAAGGAGCCCTCTGCAAACAAATGCAGCAGACTCTCATATCCTACTATACATTACCTTGCTAAAAAGGTGACAGGAACAGCAATATGACTCTTTCATGCATAGCAATTTAGGAATGTGTGGTTACAAATGACCTTGTTTCCAGTTAATCAAAATGACAATCACTTGACCACTAATATATTGCCACATGATTTTACAATACATTTCTGGTTCCTATAGAAACCACCAGAACTTTTAAAGTGTATTTTTTCTGACCTAATATAGATAATTTTGAAGCTGCAGTAAAGAGACATTTTCCCTCATTTGCACAGTAAAAAAGGCACATTACAAGTATTTTAAATAAATTAAAACAGCAGCTATGTTGAAATATGCCATGTAGACACACAAGTACAAATGGGAGTGTATTTCAGTGGCTTTTCTACTGAAAGTAAAGTGCTGTGCTGAATTGAATGTCTTAAAATCACAGAAGAGTCTCTTCTGTCTGGGGCAGGCTATGGTGAGCTTTCTCCCTAGACAAGATGGTGTGCTCTCTCTTGGTTTAATCTAGCCATGATTTCTGCTTTTTTGATTTTCTGCCCAACCTGGATGCTATTTCAATCCAGCTTCCCCAAAGAAAACTACAAACAGTTCCTCCTCTCTACATGAACTCACATCTAAGAGATTCCCTATGGAGGCAAGGAGTGAAGGAGCCACTGGGGACAATTTCAAATCATGAATCCTATTATCCCCCAATGGTTATATTGTAAAAATCTGCCCTAGTAGTAGTTAGGGGTGTTAAACACATCTATTGACTTAGTCATTCCTGCATCCAGGAAGTGTCTATTGAGCTTATACTATGGTGCCAGAAACTTCTAGGTACTAAAAATACAGTGGAGGTGTGTACACCAGCACATGCCAATAATCCCAGTGGCTCAGGCAGGAGGATTGCAAGTTCAAAGCCAGCCTCAGCAACTTATTGAGGTCCTAAGCAATTTAGCAAGACCCCGTCTCAAAATAAATAAAAAGGGATGGAGATGGATTCAGTGGTTAAGTGCCCCTGAGTTCAATCCCTAGCACCAAAAACAAACAAACAAACAAACAAACAAAAACCAGTGGAGAACAAGAATCACAGACCCTTGGGGCTGGGGATGTGGCTCAAGTGGTAGCGCGCTTGCCTGGCATGCGTGCGGCCCGGGTTCGATCCTCAGCACCACATACAAACAAGGATGTTGTGTCCGCCGAGAACTGAAAAAATAAATATTAAAAAAAAAAAAAAAAAGAATTCTCTTTCTCTCTCTCTCTGTCTCTCTTTAAAAAAAAAAAAAAAAGAATCACAGACCCTGGAGCTTACAGTTTTCGCATAAATAGGCAAAACCAAGTAAATATTATAAAAGATGAGGCTAGAACTCTATAAAGGAAAGAATCTAGACATTGCATTAGAGAACAATGGGAAAACCTATTCAGACACAGAATACTGCTTACTTGATTCTGCTTTCTGGTTTTCTTGTTTTGTGGTTCATGTTCAATTTCAAAGAGCCTCAAAGAGTCAGGCCTTTTATTTGTATTAAATTCCAAAAGCAAAGATAAGCTGTTTTGTTTGGTTTAGCTTTTCTTTTTCTTTCTTTCTTTTTTTTTTTTAAATTGGCCACCTGCATTCACAATTTAAAAGCTGCAATGAGAAAGGAAGGGTGCCCTTTGGAAAAATGTTTCTCCATATGCTCACACAAAATGAATTTAAAAAATAATTACAGAAATTAAGAATCTTATGGAATGTTACTTTTCTGAAGCTAAACATTAAATTTGAAAGTAAAAAAAAATCATTAATCCTGGCAGAAATATTTTGGCTTAATAATGCATTTCTTTCTAAAACAGGAGAACCCTGCCTATGAAAAATACATCCGACCACTATTACAAAGTTGGAGATCCAAGCTATGAAATAACCAACAGTAATCAAGGAGCAAGCAGCACTACAATGGTTCTATAGCATATATTGGCAAAATTAAAATTGATATACATATATGTGTGTGAGTCATCTTTTAGACATAGTCTGAAGTAGTATCTATGAGATATAATCTGTGATTTACTTCAAAATAGTCTAAAAAAAGGGGGCGTGAAGAGTTATTAAATTTGGTCACTGGGTAGGTATTTTGGTGTTCACTACACTACTCTCTCTACTGTTCATTGGATATTTGAAATTTCCCACAATAAAAAAAAAGAAAAAAAAGCGGGGGTGGGGGGTGGGGGACCACTATCCACTTGTAGCATTTGTACTAGATCTTTGTTTCAGATATAGCAAAGCCAAATCAGTTTTTTTCTCTCTCTCTTTTAGCTGGGGATCAAACCCAAGGCATCATGAATGTTTGTTAAGCAAGTACTCCACTACTGAGCTACACTTAGCATTTATCCTCAGGTTTAAAAGGACACAAACATTCCAACACACTGTCCTCCAGAAATGCCTATGCTTGGTGTAACCTAAATAAAATACAAAGCCCTAAGAATGCACTGAAGTATCAACTTTTAAAAATCAACTCTTCTGGGCTGAGAATGTAGCTCAGTGGTAAAGCACCTGCCTACCATGAGTTGTAGAGGCCCTGGGGTTCAATCCCCAGCACAGCAAAAAAAAAAAAAAAACAAAAAAAACAAAAAACCTCTTCTGCAGTGAGAATGATCAAAAACTTCATAGAAACAGACACAATTGTTTAAAATTAACCGAACATAATCAAGGGACATTTTTTCATACCATTTCCAATTATCCAACTGATAAAACACTCAAATTATCAACTAACAAATGAAATTGAATAAAAATTTCAGCAGCTGCTTTTCCCAATTTACTCATATAAACAATCATTTAGTTATTAATAATTAGTAAACCTGAGAAAATTTACCAAAGCAAATATCTCCAGAAAGTTGGGCAACTAGAGCAACTAGTATATTCCTATTTCCCCAACTATTTTTAATTACAATCATTTTACTTCATATTGATCTCTTTCTAAAAACAGGAGAGCCCTGCCTATGAGAAATACATTCGACCACTATTACAAAGTTGGAAATCCAAGTTATGAAATAACCAACAGTAATCAACTAACCAGTTGGGGATTTTTTTTTTTTTTTTTTTTTTTTTTTGCAACCATCAATCAATTTGAAGTGAGAGCCAATCTTCTAAAGTGGTAGCCTTGAACTAGTACATCAATTTACCAAAACCAGAGCAACCTGTCAACAACATTAAGGAATCTTAGTCTGAAGATGGTAAAAATGGGTTGATTACAGGTTTCTGGTAATTTATCAAATCTTAAAATAAATTTTCAGGAAGACATGGGGAAAAGTTAGCAAAGTAAATGTTCTTATCTTTTCAGAGGGAGAATCTTGGAATATTCTCACAGAGAGGAGGAGAAAAAGAGTGACCTGCCTGCTCCAGGGCACAGAGTCTCAAAGAGTTCCACTCTTCCCTTAGAAAACAGGGCAGAAGTTACATGCCTTCCTTTTTTATAAGGTGTGCTAGCAAACCAGGAAGTCTCACTATAATTAACACAATCCTTCCTGTGAGTAACTTTCAAGAAATAGAATCAAATGCAAAATAAGACCAGAACCAGGCCAGGCCAGTGGCATGATACATCCCTGTAATCCCAGCTACCTGGGAGGCTGAGGCAACAGGATCCCAATTCAAGGCCACCTTGGGCAACTTGGCAGGACCCTGTTTCAAAGTAAGATAAAAAGGGATGGGAATGTAGCTTTGAGGATGCATGAGGCCTGGATTCAATCTCCAGTGGGGGGCAGGGGAGGGGGCCGGAGAGACTACAATGAAATAAACAAAATTACATACATTTCCCCAACTATTCCAGATTCTTCTTCATTTACAACAGTTTATTTCTTCTTTTTAGAAATAAACTTAGCTTTGATAATAACATGCAATTGTGGGTAACCACAATACATGAGGATAAAATAGCTAGTCATTCTTGTCCCCGTGCTTAGGACAAAACTGAAATAATGAGTCATATTCAGCACTATGACAACTGAAGAAAAATCTGTAATCTTTAATATAAGTGCCAATGGAAACTTTGTCAAACAGCACGTTCACCATTCAAATATGCACTCTTTTAGACATTGAGACAAATTCTATCCATCCCTGCTTCAATGACACAATAGAGTTCTTATAAACTACAATCTAAGGTTCCATTGAGTCCTCTCAAAGAGTAGGACATAAACAATGCATACTTCAGACAATGAATATGATTTTTCTCCTTTAAGTAATAACAACAACCAATAAATACAGATCTAATTTTCTTATTTCATTTTTTATTAGTTTTTTTTTTTTTTTCCTGGTAGACAGAACACTTGGGAATTATACTGCACCAGGCATAAGAAGTAAGATTTCTACCACAGGGACATTTTGTATTCAGAATCCAATATAAATATTTCTAGTCAGATATTTCCATGGCTACAGATATTTGGTTGCTTGATTTATATGCATAGAAAGTAACAGTTGTCATAACTGTGAAAAGCAGTACTTAATAAGTACCTTTAAATGATTGGAACAGTTTTCCTTTAATATTATAATACTGCTTACTGGTTTGGAAACTAGGTCACCCTACATGATATTTGATTTTTTTTCAAAGGCATCATGAGTATTCTGCTTTTTCTTTCATTCCTGTATTTTTAGCCTTCTAGTTATTTGGGGCCATTTTATCAGAAATCATTTTAGCACTGTAATAAAAAAAAAAAAAAAAAGCTCTGTTAAGGATAGATTATATACCATAATGATTTTCAGACTTCTTTTTATAAAAAAGGTATCTGGAGACTCAGAACAGGCACATGCATACTCAGGGTAAAGGAAACAAAACATGGAAGAGTCTGCGAAAGCATAAAACTTCCTTCTCAGTTCTCAATGCCTTCAAATAAATACAAATATTAAAAAAAAAAAAAAAAGCCCACATTGTGATTTAAAAAAAAAAAAAGTCTCTTCCATTTCCTGGAGAGTCAGTTTCCAGGAACTTCTTCTCCAGTGCTGGGGATCAGTCATCCGTCTTCCGGGCTAGTCTACAGAAAGTCCAGTTGTGCTCCACTGTGTTCTCATTGGCCCGCTCACTCATGTGATGCACGCGAGTGTTGCGGATCGTGAAACCTTGTTTTGTAATGTATTCCATGAGGTGGACCCGCAGAGAAACTTCCTGGTGATAATCACAGGGTCCAAAAGTAAAGGAAACCTGGCAGTCTCTGGTGTCCATCATGTGCTTATTCCACTTGGTAAAATAATTCGAGATGCCTTCTAGTAAGGAATGGACCTTGGTGGTGATGGTTAATTGAGTTATGATAACAGCCACTGGATTGGAGTACTTAGAAAGCTTCCGGGTACTAGAGAGCTCCACAACCTCTTCAAAAGTATCCATAGGATACAAAGGCTTTGGGTCGTTGAGACATTGAATCAAGGGCTCGATCTGGTAAAAATCTGCTTCTTTCCGAAGCAGATCAAATTCCTTAAAATCCAGGGGTAAGGTCAATTCTGAAGTTCTTAAGAAGTTGAGGACATATCGGAAAAGAGGTCCATCTCGATCAATGAAGTAATTGCCTTGAGGGTCTCGAGCTGTGGGGAAGTCCCCCCCAAACATAGCTCCAAGCATGGAATCTGGATAACGCGTCAATGTGGTGAGAGATGTCGTATACAAGTGTCCACCTACATTTAACGTGACTGGGTCAGTCATCTGAAATTTTTTAAAAGATAATCAGTCACCTGAAATTTTGTAAATCCTAACTTTGACAAATTAAGAAAATTAAAAGTAACAAGCAAAGCTAGTACTAAAATTCCTTTAAACTATAACATATTTGACAAACCTATAATGCACATGGCTTTACTTTCAATGACAAGCCCACACAGATTAAGGGATCTAACATTTGCTTCAATAGAAAAGAAAGAAGGAACCGGGCATAGTAGCATATGCCTGTGATCCCAGAGACTTGGGAGGCTGAGACGAGGATCCCAAGTTCAAGGTTAGCACCAGTAATTTCATGAGACTCTGTCTCAAAATAAAATGTAAAAAGGCTTGGAATGGAGCTCAGTGGTAAAGGTCCCCTCAGTTCAATCCCTGGTGGAGGGCAGGGATGAGGGGAAGAAAGAAGGATACATTCAGTTCTTCAAAGACTTAATAATCAAGGGCATGACTTCAGAGCCATACAGTTTCAGGACCAGTATCTAAGTGTTTGGGTCACAGGAAATCAAAAGAAAAACTAAAATACACTCGTTTTTTTTTTTTTTTCAGGTTTGTTTTTTTTTTTTAAAGATCTTCAGTTTTCTTAGCTCAATTTAACATAAGATAGATAAAATTATCTGATAATGTAAAGATATCTACTTTTAATATTTCTTTGAGGTTTTCCCACTCAAAAAAGAACAAATCATAAAATCAACTTTAAAAATAAAACTTTGTGCATACCTAATCTTGATAACTTTTTTATGGAAATAAAGAGTGTCAAACACTAAGTTGAAATATACTGCTGGGTGGGCTGGGGTTGTGGCTCAGAGGTAAAGCATTTGCCTAGCATGCGTGAGGCACTGGGTTCGATCCTCAGCACCAAATTTTAAAAAATAAAGATATTGTGTCCACCTATAACTAAAAATAAAATGAATATTTAAATACACACACATACACACACACACACACACCTGGGTCAACACAACCTAGCCACTAAACCAACACATACTGGAAGAGTAGTAGTAATTTTAAAATTTCATTACTTGATAGTGTATTCACATTTGTAACATTAATATTGCAATCTGACCTTTAATGTGAGAAACAAAACCCTTTAAATAACACATATCTTTCTTTTAGAAGTCATATTTAAGAAAAAGCAAAGATGCAGGTAATGTTCAGATACTAGGAAAGTGAAATATTACCAGAGGAGGAGAAAAAGAGGGAGACACAGGAACACACAAAAAGGGGAAGAGGCACATTCTCAACTGTCATCTCCCTAGCCACAAGAAAATGTCCTCCACTCCATCACCTACTAGATCCTTTAGTATCACCACTCCATAAAGTTTAAGAGTAACATACTTTAAAGATCAAAAAGGGATGTCTCTCTCAAATAAATGATTATTAAAAGTTGCTTTAAGAGTCCATACTAAGTCTGCTTCCATTAAAACACCAAACAAAACAACACCCCCCTCCAAAAAAATACATCTAAACAAATTGAAGGCGGAAGGAGTTGCACAAGTTCCTAATTTGCATTCTTGTAAGATATGTTATATCTAAGGCTACATAAGGGGGAAAAAAGGTACAAAAATAATTTTCCAGCCTTCAAAGTGCAGTTGCAAGAACTACTCACCATATAGCCCCAGTCTCCATTATCCATCTGTTCCAGTGCTGCGTTTTCAGGAGCCCAGCTTCCAGGAAAACTTTGGAAAGAGAAAAAAGGACATACGATAGAATAAGCAGTTATGAAAACAGAGAAAAAAGAGGTTCTCTCACCTAACAGAGCAGGCCAAACACCAGAAAAACTACTTGTCTTTATTCAACTAGAGCCTACTACAGGGCAAAGACCAGGCAGGACGCTCTATGGGCATCTTGAGAGCCTGTCCAGAACAGAGAACTATCCTATACTTGGAGTAAAAGGAGAAGCATAGAAGTAAATCAGCCATTCAAATTCTCTCTCTTCTCTAAAAGTCAGTTTTTAGAATGTCTATAAAAGAATATTATGGTTAACTATTCAACCTTATCTTGGTACAAACCTATGATGGTCTTTCTCAGAAAGGTCATTTAAGAGAAAGGCAGAAGGATCAAAAGTTAGAGGCCAGCCTGGGCAATTGAGCAAGACCCTGCCTCAAAAATCAAAAATACTTTAAAAGGGCTGGGGATGTAGCTCAGTGGTCAACAGCACCCCTAGGTTCAATCCCCAGTATCAAAGAGAGAGAGAGAGAGAGAGAGAGAGAGTGTGTAAAAAAGGAAAGCCAGACACAGTGGCCATGCCTGTGGTTCTAGCAACTCCAGAGGCTGAGGCAGGAAGATTCCAAGTTTGAGGTCACTCTGAGCAATTTAGCCAGACCCCAGTCTCAGGATAAAAAAATAAAAAGAGCTGGGATTCAATTCAGTGGTAAAATGCCCCTGGGTTCAATCCCCAGTATGAAAACTAAAAGGAAAATTCTATTCATCAGCATAAATTAAACATCTCAGTAAACGCATTAAACATAATAAATTTCCCAAGATACAAGTATCACTTTCCAAAGAAATATATCAGAATAGTATTTATTGTATAATATAAAAAACAAGCTATACTTTTAATAATGAGGTATTTATCTTCATGAATAATCAAAACAAAAAGAAAGCAATTTAAATGACAAATTGGTAGAGCACTATTTGGGACAAAAAGAACCTTTCTGATTGGGGTCAGAGTTGTTAGCCAGCACTCCTAGAGAGTCAGCCTTAGGACACTAATAAACACCCATATGCTAATGATGCCAGTTTCAATTTATTTTTATCTACAATTCAAGAGCACTTAAACACTTCCCAGCCTTAGTCAGTTCCCTCTCACACACTCCATTCCCCAAATCAACCCGCAAAGCAAACTGTAGAGCAAATTTCAAAAGCGCTGGCAAGAGATGGTAAGAAACACGGACTTCTCCGTATTCATCCAGGAAAAGCATCGGCTTTTTCTAATGCAGTCTTTGAACAGATCCACTTTTCCCACTTTTAGAGGAATCTGGCACACAATTCCCAGAACAAGCTCTGGCTACAAAAGATCACAAAGGCTCTTTCTCAAAAGGTCACTCAGGCATGTAGAGAACATTTGCATAGCACAGCATGGGCTGAAATCAGAGCCTGAAGCATCTATTTCTCCACCTTGCAAATTCTTCAAAGCAAACAAGCTAAAATGTAGACCAGAGGATGTGCAGCTTTTACTCTTTACACTCAGCAGTTGGATACAGTCATGCTACTGAGTGAGAAACGGAACAAATGTCAAATTCAGGGCTGCTGTGACAAATCTGTATTCCTCTGACTTGCTTCATAAATGGTGTCTGAAGTAAACAGAACCAAGAAGTGAACTTTACCAACTTGTCTTGCCAGCATCTCATGCTGATACTGATAACAAATCAGTAACTGTGCAACTGAAAAGGCCAGTCCTTCGGAAGTTCTGGTAAGTTCTGCTCATCTTTGGCTTTCCCTGTCACTCAAAGTATTATTTCCTAATGCCTCAATAATTGATCATTCAACCAACATTTATTTTGAATCAACTAGGGGGAGGGAGCATATGTGCAAATATAGATATACAGAAACAGGAAAAGGGCAACCCTTGCTCTCATGGAGCCTTCAATCTACAAAAGAAGGCAACACGCAACTGAAGTACAGAATTCCAAAGTGCTACAGAGATGGACTGGCAGAGCCTGCAGGAGGAAAGTCCAAGATTCCAAATCAGAAAATAAAGAAAGAGCTCACTCAGTGGAACAAAGAAAATTTGCACAACCTGAGAAGGGATTCCAGAAAGAAGAAGCAATTTAAATAGACAATGATTTGTACATCTTCCCACCCCCCAACACTGCTGATATAATAATCCAAGCACAGATTACTGCCCCCATTTTAGAGATGCAAAATAGAGAAACCAAGTAGATTAAGTGGCTTGTTCAAGGCCCACAGCTGGGAAGTAACTGAATAAGTATTGGGTTTTCTGGCCCCTTGTCTAGATCTTTCCATAAATACCCTCCTTGAACAGAAATTGAAAAAAGAGAATCCCCAAAACCAAGAAATTGAAAAAGATTAATTTTAGATTCTCTATAACTACCTATTAAACCTATCCACCTACTAGGGATTTATTTACAATTGTACATAACTCAGCCTAACCAGTCATAAAGGGTCTGTAAAAATTCCTCTGAATCTAAGTTTTAAAAAGGCAGAAACCTGGGGCTGGAGTTGTGGCTCAGTGGTAGAGCACTTGCCTAGCATGTCTGAGGCCCTAGGTTCAATCCTCAGCACCACATATAAATAAATAATATTAAAGTCACATTTACAACTAAAAAAAAAATTTTTTTAAAAGGCAGAAACCTACGCACTAGTGTGAATAAGTGACATAAAGAACTCCAATCCTAATTGTTAAGTATCCTAATTGTTAAATGAGAAATGGAGTGACATAAAGAACTTAAGTGACATAAAGAATCCAATCCATCAATATCCTAATTGTTAAATGAGAAATGGAATACCAGTAGACACTGATGTTATACTGTTAGGCAAGGTCTATTTCTAGTTCTTTCCTTCTTTTTTCTTTTTTACTTCTAAATCAAAACAGGGTAATTTCTTGAGCAGTCATAAAAGAAAATTTGATGATACCCATAAATCTGTTCCACAGCAAAAGCCCAGAATCTGTACAAAGATGTAAAGAAACTTCAAACTTAATAATTTAGGAAAGCAATTATGGAAATCTACATAAGCCCATGTTTCTCAAAAAGCATCCAAAAGTCTTCCTATACTTGTGTATAAGATTCATCAAAACAAACTGAAGCACAGTCACGGTTAGTCACTTCCAATAACAATAACTAAATTCTAAAAAAAATCAAATTGCTCATTAAAGAGTTCAAAGGGGAAAAAATATTAAATTTTACCTCTACTCCTTGTTTCTAAATGTCCTAAGTAGAGATGCTCTGATAAAGCAAGAAACCAAAAAAAAAAAAAAAAAAAAAGGCCAGGAAGATTACTGCTTACCCAATAGTTGGATTCTGAATTAATGGCTATTATTCAGAACATATCAGAGGCAATGCAGATGGATGAAATAAAACAAAATCCAAAAGAATTTCCAGAATAGCTTCAATCTCTTCTACCAAATCATTTTCCAGAGCTGCTAACAATTAGAAAATGATTCATTTGCTTTTCATCTTTTCTCTCTTCTGCACAGTCTTCCCTGGAGGATTAATGAGAAGTGACCACAAGACAGGCAGTAGAAGAAAGACCTTGAAATGGGCATCAAATGGGCCTGTTTCATTTGATGAAGGTAAAGAAAAATCTTATATGTCAGATAATTTGTGAGGAACGGATATTCTAAGGGTAACAACAACAACAACAACAAATAATTTCTCTTTATGGTGATTTTCCTTACTAAAGATTGTTTTAAAAGACAGTGAAAGCAACCAAGCACAATTATAAAATTCAAAACACAACACTTCCTGACCTGGAAAAAACAGTTCATCTGAAAAGATCTGACCTTTGATGAAAATAAATTCTTGTCCCAAAGTCTATAAATCATCACCAAAAATTTGCCTATGTTTATTCTTAAAAGGTTAGACAGTGTAATGTTTGCAGTAGTTCAGTTAAGGAAAACATACTGAAGAACTTTCAAAAGTTTAAAAGAAATCAGAGGGCTGGGGTTGTAGCTCAGTGGTAGAGTGCTTGCCTAGCATTCAGGAGGCGTTGGGTTCAATCCTCAGCACCACATAAAGATAAATAAATAAAAATAAAGGTATGTCCTTCTACAACTAAAATATTTTTTAAAAAGAAATTACAGATTTTTCAAGGTAGAAAATCTGGAGAACACACAATCCAATAATAAGTTATTAGCTTAAAAAATAACCTAACACGGGCTGGGGTTGTGGCTCAGGGGTAGAGGGCTTGCCTAGCATGTGTGAAGCACTGGGTTCAATTTCCAGCACACATAAAAAAACTAAATAAACAAAATAAAGATATTGTGTCCATATACAACTTAAAAAAAAAAAAACAACTAACCCCTAAATGCCACCTTCCTTACCACAATAAAACTGCATTTATAGGCTTATGAGTTATAATGAACTAAATATAACCCAAAATTCTGGGTTGATCTTTTCTGCTACAGACTAAGAATCCCGCAGGGCCAAAAGTCCTACTCCTATATATTACTCTATACACTGCAATATAAACCTCCAAATTTGAACAAGTAATAAGAAAAATCTCTAACTACTACCTTCCCAGAGTTTCCAGGTAGCCCTTTAAATTGCTTTTCTACTGAAACCTTTGTGTCTGGCATTCCGAAGGCAGAACTCAATAAAGTCTCTCCATCTATACTTACCTTCAAAATTGCCTTTGTACTGAGTTTCTGTTCTTGAAACGTGGGAGTTTGAAAGTGAAATACTTTTTATAGTAACTAGTTCAGCGACATCTAAAGGAGTCTTTTGGGTTAACATCCACATACAAGCCAGCACAAGTAGCCAGACATACAAGGATAATGCGATTATGGTGTTAGATTAGCCCTAACTCAACCAATGCAGAAATGGATCTTTTCATATATATATATATATATATATTAGTTGTTGGTTGACCTTTATTTTATTCATTTATTTATATGTGGTGCTGAGAATCGAACCTAGTGCCTCACAAATGCTAGGTAAGCACTCTACCACTGAGCCACCGCCCCAGCCCTGGATAATAACCTAACCTGGATCTTAAGTAATTATTTTTTCTCCTCTCTCAACCATGTGGTCTAGAAGAGAGAGCTCTAGGTTAAAAAGCGACTGATTGCTAAAGAACTGTCAAAGAGTCACAAAATCATAAAATTCCTCTTATCCTCAGTTTCCATGAGATAAAATAAGATAATATCACTTCTCCCAAAAGTAATTAGACCATTTAAACCCTACATGAAAGTAAAAACTGGGCTGGGGATGTGGCTCAAGCAGTAGCGTGGCTCAAGCAGTAGCGCGGCCCGGGTTCGATCCTCAGCATCACATACAAACAAAGATGTTGTGTCCGCCGAAAACTAAAAAATAAATTAAAAAAAAAAAAAGAAAGAAAGTAAAAACTGGCCTATAGTGCAATAGTCCAGGAGTAGGGTTCTGAAGTCACATGCAGGCAGTGCAAAGGAAAGAGAACTGACTACCAGAGGGGAAGGACCAGAATTCCAACTGCTTCATTATTATGAGACCCTGAGTAAACCACCCATATGCCCAGCTTCTTCTTGGAGAAATGGAGAAAATAAACAAGATCATGAATATAAAACAAGTATTATACCAATGTGAAAATACTTGTGGCAGTAGCGTAAACAAAATTTCTATGGTAAAGAAACTTGAGAATGTGAACACAAGTAATTTAGAGCATAGGCATGCAGAGAGGGCAAAAAAGTGGTGATGGCCTCAATGTGCTTCCAATGTCCTTAAGACCACATTTCCCCAGAGTTCCAGACAGGTCCGCTACAGGTAAAGGGCAGAGTCCAGTGTTTACAAAGCACAGATATCTGAATGTCTGATCCGAGAAGGAACTTCTCTAAAGCATGACTCAGGATTATCTCCCAGGTAAAGCCAAATGCAAATAAATACGTGAATTTCATTTTAAATAGCCCTCAAATATCAAAATCCAAGACACAGGAGGGATTCACAGGATTCACCTGGGACTCCTTTATGTAGTAAATGCTTTGGTTAAAATATGATTTATAACTATTTGAATCACAAAACTTAGCAATGGCATCTATGACTATCTTGACCACACGATCCTTGATACTTGACACTACAAAAAAAAAAAAAAAATCAAGTACCCCATATTGACTGATGGTGTTCAATTAAAGAGCAAGTTCTCTCAACTTACCAACAACCCCTGCTCATAAAAATATTCTTTTCCTAGCTACACGTTTGTTCACTTGAAAACCTCTCAATCTGGGGCTCGGGCCTGTGCTAGCTCAGCTTCTTATTCCAGGATCCTTCTCGTGCTAGGGCATTTGTGGCAGCGAAGAAAATGAACATGCCAGGAAGATATGGGAAAGATTAAGATACTTGGGCTACCCCAAACACATTCTTAGCCTTTGGGGTGATCCCAAATCTATTTGCCACCCAAATCTCTTCTCTCACAAAGTCTCAAAACTGGATTTATCAACTTGTTCTAGAACTGGTATACTCGAACCCAAGAAACCTGATAACTTCAGCAGAATATCCAAACAGGATCTCTGTCACGTTTCATTTCCCGGTCCCACCCCCAGACACAGCCTCCACGGCACCGTCAGCCCAGCAGGTGCTGCAGGGGCTCCCCACGACCACGGTCACGGATCCCCTCTGACATCAAGCACGAGAAATGCCACGACCTCCACAAATCTGAGCATCTGAGTCACGAACTCGGCTGCAATCGGTGTGTCTCTTCAGACCAGAAAATCCCAAAGGCAGGGCTCAGAAGCCTCCTCCTTCCTCACGCTTTAAACTAGGGCAAGCGCTAGCTAATAAGCGCCACCCCCCAAAACACAGCGTTTCGGAGCAAACCCAGAGGGGGTCCCGTCTGGGCCCCCGATTCGCCGTCGCCCCGGGAGCCAAGCCCGCAGCCCGACGCGGCCCCGGCGCGGAGCGGGCGATGCTCCCCGCCCGGGCGAGGGGCGCGCACCGGAGCCCCGAACCTCGGCCCGCGGGGCCGCGCGTCCCTGCCGGGCGGGCCCCGGAATCCCCGCCCAGGCCCGGCCGAGGGCAGCCTCGCCGCAGGCTCGTGCCAGCCCCGGGACGCGCGGCCCGAGCTCCCCCGCGGTCCCCTCAGCGCGTCCCTGCCCAATCCTCTCAGCTCCGCTCCCCTAGCCACCGGGCGCCGGCTTCTCCTCATCCCCGGCCCTCCTGTGCCCGGGCCCCATAAGCCCTGCGCCCGCCCCACTCACTGCGCGACAGCGGCGGCGGCCCGGCCGGGAGATGCCGGCGGCCGGAGGGCGCGAGCGCGGGGACGAGCGAGCCCGCGCCCGGAGGCGGTGGCGGCGGCGGCGGCAGAAGGGACGACTGAGCCGGCGCCCGGAGTTGCGGCTCCAGCTGCCCAGCGCGGGCGGCGCCTTCCCAGCAGAGCTACGGCGCCACGAGCGCGGGCGCCCCCTAAAGGCGGCGCGGGCGGGAGGCCACGGAAGCCAGAGAGCCCGGCAGTCGGGGAAATTCAGCAAGCGCAGCCTGAGTTGAGCGGTCAGGCGGGCTGTACCGCAGCTCCGAAGCCCCGCCCCAAAGCGCCAGTCCCGCCCCAAGGCTCCGCCCCGGCTATCTAAGCCCCGCCCAGGATACGTCCCCGCTCCCCGCCTCCGCCTGCAGTCCCGGGTCCTCCCACTCCCGTGCGCACAAAGTCTGTGCCCTCTCTTCGCTGTGTGCTCTGCGCTGGTGTCTCCACAGGTGCTTCTCCTCATTCATTTCACAAACTTGTATGGACCCTACCCACTACGTGCCAAGCCTGGGGAGTACAGCGGCCACCAAAATCGCTGCGGGCTCCAAGACTCAAGGAAACAGCTAGTTGACAAAATATGGTAAGTGTTGAGAGGGGCATAATTAGAAGACTTAGGTGGAAATAAGGGAAGGGGACCCCTGCTTCAGACGCTGTAGGCAAGGAAGACCTGAATTCCCGGCATTTGACCAGAGCCCCTCCTGGCCTTGTCCTGTGTTAGGAAGCACGCCCTATAAAAAGGACTTTAAGGAACCCCCTGGGGCCACCTATCCGGCCCGGTGGGTAGAGCAGCCAAGGGCAGCCAGATGGAGAGGACAGAGCCAACTGCAACAGCCTAAGTGACGTCGTGCAAAGACTTGGAGGCTAGAAGCTCTGCCCTAGTTGAGGTTGGTGGTGGTTGCCACGCCAAAAGGTCAAGGTGCAGAATACCTAAAGCCTTAAAGCTAACTGGTCTCCTTCCAAATGCTTTTCCCAGTTATTTGACATTGATTTTGCCCATTTCCCTTCTCCAGGAGAACCACTTGCCTCAGCTGGATTTCATGTCTGCACGGGTGAGAGGTGCTTCTCAAAGTTGAACTTTTTTTCTTTTTTTTTGGTACCAGAGATTGAACCTAGATTAAACTCACTGCACTGAGTCACATCCCAGGCCTATTTGTTTAAAGACAGGATCTCACTAAGTTGCTTAGGGCCTCCCTAAGTCACTAAGGCTGGTTTTGAACTTGCAATCATCCTGCCTCAGCCTTCTGAGCAGCTGAGATTACAGGAGTGCACCACCCTGCCCAGCTCAAAGTTGAATTCTTAATCAATATGATCATCACAGTCATATCTGATATTTGGATTTTCTCCACACACTCCAATGGATAGGCTAAGTAAATAACATACTTCATCAACATCACTGAGTACATTAACATATTCACAAAAACTAGGTGAGGATACAGGGAAGTGTTTGTGAAAATAATAAGTACACAAAATAGTATACATGGTATAATCCTAATTTTGTTTTTAAAAACATATGTATGCTGGGCACCATGAAAGACACCTGTAATCCCAGCCACGTGGGAAGCTGAGGCAGGAAGATCACCAATTCAAAAGCACCCTCAGCAATTTAGCTAGGCCCTAAGCAACTTTCTGAAACCCTGCCTCAAAATAAAAAAATAAAAAGGGCTAGGGTTGCAGCTCAGTGGTAAAGCACCCCTGGATTCAATTCTCAAAATAAATAAATAATAAATAAATAAATATACATAGACAGTTATTTCAAAGGAAAAACACTCCACCATTAGTCTTAGTGTTGCAGGTAATAAAATGTAAATGTTAGAGACTTATTACTTCTATTTATTTATTTATTTATGTGGTGCTGGGGTTTGAACCCAGGGCCCATGTGCATGTGAGAGAAGCACTCTTATCAACTGAGCTATATACCCAGCCCAAGACTTATTACTTCTTAGTGTTCTTCTTAATTTTACTTATTGTCTAGACTTTTATATGGATATTGAATTTATAATCAGAAAAATACAATGAGTTTGGTGGTAGGGGTGTGTTTTAGTCAGCTTTTTCAGTGCTGTGACTAAAAGCCCTGGCAAGACAGTTTTAGAGGAGGAAAAGTTTATCTGGAGCTCATGGTTTCAGAGGTCTGTCCAAAGACAGCTGGTTCCGTTCCTTGGGGCTGGAGGTGAGGCAGAACATGGCGGAAGGGTATGGTGGAGGAAAGCAGCTGGGAGAATGGCTCCAGAAAGCAGAAAGAGAGACTCTACTTGACAGATACAAAATATATCCCCCACAAGTATACCCCCCAATGCTTTTCCCAGTTATATGATATTGCACCTTCTCCAGCCACCCCCTACCTGCCTTCAGTTACCACTTGGTTAATCTCCATCAAGGGATTAATTTGCTGAGTGGGTTAAGGCTCTCATGACCCAATCATTTCACATCTGAACGTTCTTGCACTGTCTCATACATGAATTTTTGGGGGATACCTCACATCTAAACTGTACCATTGTGTTTGTTTTTGTGGTGCTGAAGATAGAACCCAAGGTTTTTCAAGCAATACCTACTCTACCACTAAGCTATACTCACAGCCCAACAATGAGTTTTATTTTTTACAAGAGGACAAAACAGAAATTACCCAAGACTTAGATCTCTAGGATTCAGTGCCACTGAAAATTCAAAATTGCTTCCAGTTTAACGGTGTCCTTGAAAAAGTCATCTACTCTTTCAGGTCTTTTGTTTCCTCGAAATAAAGACTGCTGAGGATTAACTTTGTCAGTGGTTTGGTTTTGTTTTGTCTGATCAATTCCTTAAAGGCTTGATAGTTATTATAAATTATATTATCATATATATTTATATTTCATCATTTGCTTATGGATATTGAGATAAAATTGGTTGTTAAATCATTTTTTATTCAACAAACGTAATGAACTTTTTTTGTTCTAATAAGTCTGTAAGTTCTCTTGAATTTTCTGTGTGACTAATCATAGAGCCTGGTGTGGTGGCACGCACCTGTAATCCCAACGACTAGGGAGGCTGAGGCAGGGGGAATTCGAGTTCAAAGCCAGCCTCAGCAAAATTGAGGTGCTAAGCAACTCAGTGAGACTCTGTCTCTAAATAAAATTCAAAATAGGGCTGAGGATGTGGCTCATGGGTTGAGTGCCCCTAAGTTTAATCCCCAATACCCCAAAATCATGATTGTCAGCCTCAACATCATAGAGTCTGCAAGTAAAGATAGTTTGCATCTCCTGTCCTGGCTTTATTTTATTTCCTTTTCCTTGTTTTTTTCTGTGCTAAATTCCCTTACACAGTATAGCAGTAATGATAGTAGTTCTCCACTGCTTCTAATGTGCCACCATTAACAATAGTGTTTGTCACAGATTTTGATAAACCTTTTTTTTAGTGTAAGGAAACATTATTCTGCTTTACTATGAATGAGTGCTGAATTTCATCAAATGTAAAATTTTCCCCCTAATAAAACAAATTATTATCATGGATTTTATGAAACCATTCATTCATTCCTGGGATACATTTGTGACATACAGTTTCTTCAATATGATGCTGGGTTCCATTTGATAATTCCATTTATTTATTTATTTATTATTTCGGTACCAGGGATTGAACCTAGGGCACTAACCACTGAGCAACATTTTTTATTTACAGACAGGGTCTCACTGAGTTGCTTAAGGCCCCACTAAGCTGTGGAGGCTGGCTTTGAACTTGATATTCTCCTGCCTCAGCCTCCCAAGCAGCTGGGATTACAGGAGTGTATGCTATCTGTGCTTGGCTTTTATGCCCAAATTTCTTTCTTTCTTTCTTTCCTCCCCGCTAATGCCCCCACCCCAAGTACTGGGGATTGAACCCAGGGGCACTCTACCACTGAGCCCTATCTCCAGCTCTTTTTTAAAATATTGAGACAGAGTCTTACTAAGTTACCTGCTCTGGCCTCAAATTTGTAATCCTCCCACCTCAGTTTCTCAAGTCACTGTGATTATAGACGTGGGCCACCAGGCCCAGCTATGTCCGGGTTTGTGTTTAAGACCATCCTCTCCTCTTTGTCTGCTGCTTCCTGATGCACTGGCTCAGTCACCTCCATGGATTCCATTACTACCACTAAGCCAAAGGTTCCCAGTCCCGTATCTCCAGCCCAGCCCTGTCGCCTAAACTCCAGAGCTGCAGATCCTGAATATTCTACGGCCTCAAACATGTGCCAAGCCCTGGGCTAAGTGCTTTCACTCTCTGTGTCAGTTACCTATTGCCTGTAACACATCATCCCCAAATGTAGAAGTTTACAACCAAAGACATTTATCATCTCAGTTTCTGTGGGTCAAGAATTTGGAAGCAGCGGTCTGTCAAGAGCTTGCAATCCACCTGTTACCAGGGGCTACCATCATCAGCCACCTAGAGAACTGGCTTCCAATATCACTCATGTGGCTTCTAGCAGAAGGCATTATTTCTTTGTCACATGAGCCTCCCCTGACAAATGGCAGCTGACATCCCCAGAGCAAGTGATCTAAGTGAGAAAAAGACAGAAGCCACCATGTCTTATTTATAACTCAGCCTCGAAAGTGCCATACCCGAATCATGTTGGTGTTGCACACCAGCCCTCCTAGTGTGGGATGGCGTGAACACTGGGGGGCCGAGGTCACCAGGACTTATTTTAGAGGCTGCCATCATACAC